ATTGGTCTCGAGAGAAAAAGCAAGAATGCTGTTTTTAATTGGTAATTCATTTGGGAGATTGTATCGAATGCTTAAATCATCAGAGCACACATTTTTGTGCTTTTTTATATGTGCAGAGCATAGCCTAAAAAGAGATTATGATTCAATAGACTGAGGCTCTCATTTCCTCCTCCTCATACGCATGATGAGGTTTGGAATCTTTCAGTGTTGGATTCCTCGCCAGACATGGACGATTTTGTGGATCGATATAGTTCTTATATCAGATCCAGACATTCGATGGATTTGGAGCTTGTAAAGTAGTTTCAAATGGATGACAAAAGGAAGTGTCTATTGATGTAATTGTATGCTGCTGTGAGGTCAACATATTGGAGAAGTAAGCAATTTCCGAAAATTGTTTCATTACATATATGCCATTATTACACACCTTACCAGAGCGTAAGTGTCAGTTGTTTGGAAATTATTTTTATAGAATGGTAAGAGTCTAATTAATACAATAACATTCACCATAATGGATCCAAATGAAACTTTGACATCTGTATAAAAGATTGCATTTCATGAGAAATCTACAATGGTCATTCTATTTATGCATTATGTCAAAAGTTCATCTATTTTTTTAAACATTTATCATAATTCAAATAGTCAATTCATTTGTCTTTTTGTAAAAATCAATTTGCCTATCCAAGTGTTGTGGGAAATTTGCCTCTGCTTTTCCACATGAAAGGTTAGGTTAAATGTGACAGAATCAATAAAAGCAACAACGGTTTGAAAGATTAGAGCGGACAATTCTCTCTTTTAAGCGGAAGAATAAAGACTCAAACTCCTGCTCGGAGTGTAACATAGAAGACGAAAACGTTTGTTTACATACACAGATAAAGGGATATACACAAAAATACGAGAGAAAGAAAATTCCTTTAATTTAATGAAAGAAAAGTGTTCATATAAAGACTTGCTCAAAACATTTCTCTGGGCGCCTAAAAGTCCTTTAAGCAAGTAAATAGTTTATAAGGGTTTAACACACATAAGATTTCTTCAGGCCTCTTGTTGAGGGAGAAACATTCGGAAGATCCGTAGTTTGTAGTTGAGTGTGTTCGTAGGCCGACGACAGGAATTTCAAATTCCTAGCAAGCAGATCTTGAGTAGTTTTAATAGAGGGACAACGTCCTGTCTTTAGATCCCAGCATACAAATTTCTTCCTTGAAACAGGTTCTGAAAATGAATGATGTTACTGTCGCCGACCTGATGATATCACAGATGATGTCAAATACCGATTGCCAAAGAGGCGCATATTCTCAGTAATGATCGAGATTAGAAGTCCAATAAATATCGGAAAATTTTACTTTCAAAATTGGTTATACACTTTCCCAGCCTACTTATTCGTTAGAAAAATATTCTTATCGCTAATAATCAAAGGTTTGGGAGCAGTTTTTTAGAAGCAAGAGTCCGTCAAGTTGTGAGCATGGTCCCCGACTTTATAGAATCATCGTCAAGGCAGAGGTGGTCAAATATATATTTGGGGAAAATTTGTCCCACATGAAAGAGATAATGTCAAAGATGACAGAATCGATAAAAGCAAAAACGGCTTGAAAGATTAGAGCGGACAATTCTCTCTTTTAAGCGGAGGAATAAAGAAACAAACTCCTAATTCGAAATAGAAGAAGAAAATGCTTATTTACATACACAAAAAGATAAAGGGATATACACACATACTAGAGGAAGAAAGAGAGAAGAAAATTCCTTTTAACTTCAAGGAAGAAAAAAATGTTCATTGATTTTTTTATACAATGGTGAGAGTCTAATTAATTCAATGTTAATTAGTATGATTTAACTATTTATCATATTTCTAATAACCAAGACATTTGTATCTTTGTAAAATCCATCTTGCTACCCAAGTAAGGGTCAGAGTATATGTGTCTGTATACAGCACCGTGTAAAAATCAAAGGCTACTTTAAACTGTAACGGTATTTAATGAATTATCGACTTTTAAATGAACGCTTTACTCCATCCTTACATAGATGATACATTGACTTATTTATATAGCTAAACTTCTAAGCGCACGAGAGGGGGGGAGGTAAAATATATTTGTTAACTTACAAAAGTGATCTTTTTCATCTGACCTCACGATACACTTATAGAAAAGTAAAAGCGTTGTTTAGTTGGAAGGATTCTTTCTATAGACAAAGGCGTCAAATAGGATTAGTTTTATCCGTTTTGTCATTGAATTACAATATTCCATTATATATTTATACCTATATTACACTCTCTCTCTCTCTCTCTCACACACACACACACACACACACACACACACATATATATATATATATATATATATATATATATATATATATATATATATATATATATACTTTATTCAGTTTTACTAGTGAGTGAAATTGGTAGGCGGGGAACCCCTTCGGAGCCGTCAATGCGTGTGCTAGTACGAAGTCACGAGTCTCGTGACCAATATGAGCGTGCTGGCCTTGTTCAGACAGTTGATCCCTCTAGATAAAGCGTTCACTGCCGGAAACAGTAACTAAGGCCCGCTCAGCATAGTTGCACTAAAATGCACAGGTGGGCTCTGTGGGTATTGAACAGAAATATGCATGAGCAGGTAATTGCAACAGGAATTATCTAACCGCCCCGAACTAATAAACAGGCATCCTCGGATACAATTGGTCATCCATCCATCCATCCATATATATATATATATATATATATATATATATATATATATATATATATATATATGGATAGATGAGTTTGTGTGACCCTGGGTTTCACGCTTTAGCGATCGTCAGACAAATTGATTAATTTTAATAAGTACCGCGCATATAATATATAAATAATTATATATATATTTATTTATATTTATATACACTTTCACACACACACACACACACACACACACACACATATATATATATATATATATATATATATATATATATATATATATATATATATATATATAAGTGAACATTGAAGTCACCACTCAAAGGTGACAGTTTCTGCTAGGCGCAATTGTCATATAAACAACGTCCGCTAACAATCTATACACACTTCAGGAAAGGAAGAATTATTATAATACTAAATTCATTCACTTATCACGAGATTAATACACATTATCTTTGGACTCTACAAACACAAGAAATGTTGAAAATAGTGGCCTTTAGCTTCCAGAAATTTATGAGTACGCCGAACTAACCAACCGCCGAAACCCACACAAGTGATTTGATTAAAGTGGTGAGGGCTTATACAGAACCATCCAACTTTTTCGGGACTATTGATACACTCTGTCGGTGCAAATAAATACGACAGACGAAGCAGACAATAGACCTCAGGCTTTTTGAGTAAGAGTTTTCCATCTAGTCCAGTTGTGTTCTATAACACTAAAGAGCCTACATATATACACTGATGAGCTGTGATACAGCGAAACAGTCTGTCTGTGGATGATAATATATATATATATATATAATTTCTATCACTTGCATATCCTAGTTTGAACTGGCTTCTAATGCTCCTGTTAGAGCAGATTGGGGATAGTAGTTATGGCGCCTGGGGGCGCAGCCCTATGGGTAAGAGAAAGTCGGATAAGTTTTACCACGGAATATGTGATAAGCAAAGATATATCCAATCTAATTTGTTGCTGTGCATTTTCCGATGCCCGTTGGTGCAGTTGACACGAGTTTTACCTCATATCGTAACGGTCCAGGTTTCAATTCTCGGTTGTGGATGCGCACTGCTGATGATTTCAAATATAGGACGAAACGACTGTCTAGTTCATTCTGTAGAGGTTTCTTCTACATTCGATCATTTGCTTAATTATATATATATATATATATATATATATATATAACGCTAGAATTTAAATTGAACTACGTATATCATGTAAGTTTCTTTTGGGAGTCGTTTTACTCATGACGCCACTTATACGATACGTGTATATTTGATTTAAATTTAAATTTTAGTGACGCAATGCTGTCGGTTGAGAACATACACTACTTGATAATGGACGACACGGTCAAAAGAGAAAAAAGAAATTTAGACTCTTTATTTACAATATTGATTTGAATGTACAACGTCAATTTATTTAAATCAAATTCTATCTGTCTATCTATCTATCTATCTATGCCAATCATAATTTGGTTCTATCTATTTATCTCAGTCTCTTCTTTCTTTCTTTCTTATTTCTATCTTTCTTTCTTTCTACCTTTTAATTTTGTTCTCTCTATCGCAGTCTCTTCTTTCTTTTTTCTTCTTTCTTTCTTTCTTTTAATTTTGTTCTATCTATCGCAGTCTCTTCTTTCTTTTTTCTTTCTTTCTTTCTTTCTACCTTTTAATTTTGTTCTATCTATCGCAGTATTTTCTTTCTTTCTTTCTTTCTTTCACAACCTCTTCATTGTTTTATCTATGTATTTATCTATCTGATAAATTTGTCTTATTTCTGTTCTACTTATATTTAATTAATCTCAGTTTTTTCACGGTTTTCCTATTCAGTTTACATCTATATAGTTTAGCGCTCCATTGCATACCTTCTGATTTCTGCCTCCATTTTTTTTTATCCTACTTTAGACTATTTCATGCCAATCTTATAGTTTCTCTTCTACTACTTTATACACTTTTCCTCTTTAGTCCCCACTCCCTCTCCCTATCTACCACTCTCTCTCTCTCTCTCTCTCTTTCTCAAATTCTCAGTCTTTCCCACATTTTCTATCCAATATAAAAAAAATCTATTTTTTCCACATTTACTTCATCCTTACTTCACTCTCTGCCAGGCTCCCAGCTTAAACCATGTCTCGTCTTAGATGAGCCCAAACGCGACCCTGAAGATTGCTAGCGTGCCTCGTCTTTCTGGCCGCCTGATTTGGGAAAAAGCAAATAGAATCAGATATCCGCCGACAGCCCCAGGCCGCAATTACAGACCCTATCGAATCCTATTAGCGATCAGTGGAGCGCTGCAAAGAGGGCCACCCTCTGCAACAGGATAACGAAGGCAAGTTAATTAAGACTTCCTGCTGCTGCTACCGCTGATGCTTCTGCAGCGAGTTTCGTTTTTTTTTCGTTTTTTTTTTGTGAGGAGACAGGGAGGAAAGAAGTTCCGGGAAAGGTCCAGTTCTAGTGGAAAAAAAAGGATGATCCTGGAGATATTTTCGTTGGACGTGAATTGGAAGATTAAGTAAAACTTTTGAGAAGAAAGAATAAAATGAAAAGAAAGTAAAAAGAGAAAGAAAGGCAAAAAAAAGAGAAGGAAAGAAAAACAAAAATAATAAGCAAGATCCATTAAAAGGGTAAAGTGGAAATGTAATAAGAAAGAAAGTAAGTAAGAAAGGAAAAGAAAGGAAAGAGAAGAAAAGGAGAAGAAAAAGAAAACAGGACAGACCACAATCCAGTAAGGAAGACGGAGTAGGAAAAGAAAGAAAGAAAGAAAGAAAGAAAAGAAAAGGAAAGAAAGAAAGAAAGAAAGAAAGAAAGAAAGAAAGAAAGAAAAGGAAAGAAAAGGAGGAGGAGAAAGAAAAGAGAGAATTAATGAGCGATATCTAGTAAAGAGAGGGAGGAAGAAGTAAAAGAAGAAAATAGGACAGATCACGATCCAGTAAGGAAGACGGAGTAGGAAAAGAAAGAAAGAAAGAAAGAAAGAAAGAAAGAAAGAAAGAAAGAAAGAAAGAAACCACGGAGACGGAGGAGAGAAAGAAAGAAAGAAAGAAAGAAAGAAAGAAAGAAAGAAAGAAAGAAAAGGAAAGAAAAGAAGGAGAAGGAAGAAAAGAGAGAAATAATGAGTAAAGGGAGGAAAGAAGAAGTAAAAGAAGAAAATAGGACAGATCACGATCCAGTAATGAAGACGGAGTAGGAAAAGAAAGAAAGAAAGAAAGAAAGAAAGAAAGAAAGAAAGAAAGAAAGAAAGACGAAACCATAAAGAAAGAATAAGAGAACGAACACTGTCCAGGAGTCAGTAATGAGGCGTATAAAGTGAACATTTAGAAAGATGAATGAAAGAAAAATAAAAAAGTGAGAAAGAAAGCTAAGGAATAAGAGAGAAAACGGCAATGAGAAAAACCCATTAAGGAGACAAAGGGAAAAGTGAAGATTTAGAAAGAAAGAAAGAAAGAAAGAAAGAAAGAAAGAAAGAAAGAAAGAAAGAAAGAAAAGAATAAAAGAAAAAAATAAATAATGAATCCGCTTAATAAAGATATGAAGAGGAAATAAGGTTGAAGAAAAGCCAATGAGGAACAGGAAGATATAGATGAAAGAAGGATGGAAGAAAGAAAAACTAAAATGAAATTAACAGACGAAAGAATGATGCCGAAAATAAAGACGATTAATACATATCAAACGCCAATAAAAATGAAAACGAAACGAAAAAAATCCCAAAAACAGTAACAGAAAGGAACAATATAATTATAAAAATAAAATTTACATAAACCAATTAAGAAAATTCAAAATTAATGCATCTTACCAACAAAGCAGTATCAATAATTCAACGGGTTATTTAGATTCATAAACATAAGAGTGTTGAAAAAATAAGAGAGGAGACATTACTTTTGGAACGAGACTCGTCTATCTAGCTTTCACTCTAGCATATCTATATTCATTCTGTTTATACGCTATTTTAATAGATAAGATTTACAAATACAAGTAAATGCTCTCTTTTTCTTTTAAATAAACAGTATTAATTACATTTACCGGCGTAAATGTTCGAGAAATTTTGAAGAAAATATGTGCTACTTCGACGGGAATTTAACCTGTTATCCCAATAGGAACCATCATTTGAACTGATGTGCTCTTAACCATTCATCCACAAAGAAGCGCCTGTTTTTGCAAAGTCCGAATTACTGTCTGTAATCAACAATTCCTTGACGATCTTTCCCGAACAATCATATCTGTTCACAACATGTACCTTAATGTAGTCATTAACAACATATTATGAAATGGATTAAATCCGACAATTATTTAATGATGACCGTCCATTTATTAAACAGTACATTTGTTTATTTTCGTCTTCCGGGTTGAAAATTTGCGAAATCTTATTAGTAAATAATATGTGAGCGATTATTTTTTATAACAAACAGTTAAAATTCATTATCTCATTTTTTTTTAAAGATGTACATCACATCCGTCCATCACAATTCACAAAAATCTGATCACAACTTAAATAATATGATACACACACACACGCACGCGCACACACACACACACACATTTAATGTTACACATGCTTACGCTCATGTACACTTCCCACATATGATTTGACTGTAGTGGAGATGGCCTAAGGAGAACCATCCACACATTTCGAAAGAAAGGAATACTGAGAACAGGTGAGCAATATGTGTGACGACTTCTATAAACAGTCCTTTTCAGGTTTTGAATGCGGAGCTGTTGTTCTAGAATGGTTGCCAATCAACGTTAAATAGCCGACTATGTCCCGCTATTTAACCCATAGCCGATTACACACACACACACACACACACACACACACACATATATATATATATATATATATATATTACAATGAATAATTCATACAAAAAGTAAATTAGTAAAGTTAATGAGATAAAATGGCGAATTGACTTGGCTGACTAAATTTTAAAAATGCATTAGCCCACTAATCACTCGATGAATGTTACGATCCTTGTTTTTTAAAATTATAAACTGTATTAGGTCTTCCTTAAATATGCAAGTACTTTCGACGGTTCCTCCGTTCATCATCAGGTATGGAAAGTATTTTCTTTTTGTAAACATTCAGATAATATCTGAGACGAAAAATTATCATTCAAAATAAATATATAAATATCGAAATATTTTTTATTTTATTTTAATTTATTTATTTTTTTTTTTCAGTATGCTATTGATATTGATACAAATTTGTGGAGCGTGCAGTCGCAACGCTAAGATTGAATATTTGAAAATTTAATTGAGGGCGTTTATAACTAATATGGCAATTTAAGATGTTTTTTTTTGTTGTAGGTGTTTATCAGTCAACGGGGCTTAAACTAAATAGTTCAATAATTAGAGCGATATCTCAGTTGTTTTCCGAAAATTTTAAGGGTAGAAACATTTCTTTTAAACCGCTTTCGTTGAATATGACATATAAGGAAAATCTGCTTAAATTTATCATTTAGTTCTGACATTCTTGCATTTTACCTTTTGGTGGCTGTATGGGAGTGCAAAAATTGTCCGCATGGTTAATTGCCGAAACGCTTTCGGCCACTTGTTTGATCATATTGTAAGAAGATTGGAAACACTAAAAATTTTATCAAAATTTCCTTGTCTCAAATGTTCAACGAAATATATATATATATATATATATATATATATATATATATATATATACTACTACAAATACTTCCATGGTAATTGCTCTGATGAGCTGCTTTCACTGGTCCGCAGACTCCATGAATTCAAGCGCCCTACGAGGCTGGCATCCTGCTCCCACCCTACACCGTAGAAACTTTCAAATGTAGCCGTCTCTTCTACTCCAATAGCTTCATACCTCGCACCTCTCGCATGTGGAACACCCTCCCCAATTACTGTTTCCCTGAGATCTATAATCTCCAACTATTCAAATGTAATGTCAACCGACATCTTCAGTTACCTTGATCTACTCACTATCCTTCTCCTCATCCTTTATTCTATCACTCCTATCTGCTCTTGCTCCAAATCTTCTGCAACCCCCTGCATCCTAGTGGCTTCACGCCTTGTTCGGGGCGTAATGCTTAAATATATATATATATATATATATATATATAGAGAGAGAGAGAGAGAGAGAGAGAGAGAGATGAAATTAACCCCTCACTATACTCTACCACTCTCACCCCCCTGTTAAATGACAAAAATTACACTACCCATCAATTTCTAATCCCCTTTTTTCCTTTCATTTCGTTGTTGGAATTGTTACCTGATGATCCGGAGTCCTTTAAAAAGGATTTTGGTAAAATAAATTATTGTAATGGTACCATAAATTGGTCTGTTTTTCATTAAATATTTGCTCTGTATTCACATTGAGCTCTCAGGATTTCATCCTCCTTGGAATTACCTATTCGGTTTAGCAAGTTCTTCATAACTTAACTATATATATATATATATATATATATATATATATATATATATATATATATATATAAATGAAAAATATCGGTCAGATATGTAGCCCTGAAAGAGAGATCAGAATCCTGTTAGAGAGCTTACACCTTAAATTAGACTACTGTCTCATTGTAGGATTTCAACATTGTTTTTAGATGTAGGCGGTGACATTGATTCTTAAACTCTATGGAAAGGTCTGTAACGACATAGCATGATTTCGCCCGATCTCAAAGGCTACCCCAGAAAATATGAACTTATGCATCATCATGGGTACCTTCATGAGGTCCACGTTGTCTGCTATCTTTCCTTCTGTTGCAGAGGGAAGGTTTTCAAATCAAAAAACCACTAGCCGTTTTCAGCAAGGTATGAATCCTATTCTTCTCCCCTCAGCTATGGTTCTACCGGGTTCTAGAGCCTTGGATTGCAACTGGTCTACCGCAGAAAGAAATGGCAACTTACTGCGAGAAAAATCTGCCTCGAAAGATACATGATCGCCTAAGCGTGTATCACGCATGGCACATAATTGACTGACGGTCAAATTGGCAGCTGACATAAAAAAATGACCTAAAATCTGCTGTTAACTGAGTCAATGAATTGGCTTTTAATTTGAATGCCTCGAAAACAAAACTTTTCTTCATCAGTAATCCGACAGACATTTCTCTGTCTTCCATAGGCATGGTTGCTGCTAGCCTACAAGAGAGTGAATCGCTTCGTCATCTCGGGCTAACATTCTCGGCTGACATGAAATGGAAAGATTATATTGAATCAACTGTTCGGTCTTCTGCTAAGAAAGGTGGTTCACTGTATCGTGTTAGACAATTTTGTTGACAGAATCTAGGTCACATATTTAAAAGTATATCATTCTTCCATGCTTAGAAACTTGCTGGTACATATGGCCCACTTCAGATGTTATATATTTAGAGATTCTTGATAAAATCCAATGTAGAATTCGCAATATTATTGGTCCTGACCTGTCATTGCGGGTTCAGTCACTTTCCGATCGCCGTAATGTAAATTCCATGTTACCTAGATTTTATTAATTTAAGCGCAGTATTATGTTGGATAAAAACTCTCATCAATTTATAGTTGTAATTGCTTGATGCAACCATAATTACTCTACAAACAGTTTCTTATCTTGCACCTCTCGCTTGTGGAAGACTCTTCTCGTTCCATGCTTTCCAGAGAACTTTTATTTCAAAAATTAAAATGCAGTGTTAATCGTTATATAATGACTTCTTGATTACTCTTCTTTTATTGTTCATGGGTACCTTCATGAATAATGTTTATCTTTTTTCTGATTCTTTCTCACTCAGAAAACCCCTTGTGCTTTACTGAATTTCTTGCTTTACTTGGAGTGAAATGATTAAAAATAATATCCAAAATATTACATATTTCATCGCTATGAATTATGGTTAAACTGTTCAAATCAAAACAGCAGTTGACTTGTAAAGAACCACATCCAGAATTAGATTATTATCAATTCTATCCGACAATATGTCGTTTATAGTGCATTTCAGGATTTAATTGAGAAAACATGGGAAGTGGTATCGTTTATACGCGAGTATAGTGCGAATTTTTATGATCAGTTTTTTACGCAAAAAAATAGGTGGTCACACTATACAAAATTACTATTTCTCAAGAGGTTAAAAGCCATGCATTTTCGGTGACAGGTTGCACGATAAAAATGTATTTTTTTTCTCTGGGGGTTAAAATTAATGCAAAATAAATCAGGGCTCGCACTATGCATGAAATCGGCTTATACACGAGTATATACAATATTTTCGCTTCCTCATCTGCTTTCGCTTGAAAAGGGAGCAGGCACTTAGGCTATCTGCAACAATCGCTTAAGCAGGAACACCAACCATTCCACTTTGCAACGCATTGTTACAAGTGATAAAAAAATACGAGAATGTATAGAAAGTGCACTGACTTCTGAACATCCCAGGGTATATTTGCTTCAAGGGCTATACCATCATCTCACTATCAAAATGTAAGAGACTTAATAACAACAATGGTAAAAACAAAATGTAGAGCGATAAAAACAAAAACAGGTATTAAAATATAAATTCAGCCACATGATAACTTTAGCCTTCCTCTCATGCCCGACGTTTCATATAAACATTATTCCATCAACAAGAAAATTATCTTAGCCTGATGAAGTCATTTTGAAGGAGGAAACCCATTTTTTTC